GCACTCTTGCACTCGAAACCACCTCTAACCCCCTTATATCTAAAAGCGATCCGCCCGGTTCCGTCTTCGTCAGCAATTCGAACAAAACCTTCAGCCATCTCCAATAAATAGCAATCTCAGCTCTATCCTGAAAACACAAGGCTGAAGCGTTTTTGTTTCAATTCTTATCGACAACCGCTGGTGCGAAACAGTTTTTGCAGTGTAAAACAAATCTATGCGCTTTTGCGTATTATTTGACATTCTCATATTGGGCTAGAGGTTTCCTTAATAGGATTAAAAAGGATGAATGAATTAATAAACTCTCTGCCGTTGATCAATCCCTTTTTGGGATGCGCAGACTAGAACGCAGTGGGCTTAGCTACCTCCCCAGAGTGTCGAAGTTTTTTGGTTGACCTAAGGCGAAACCCGCGAATCCCGAATTCACCTCCGGATCAACCAGAGCCATGGTAATCGTTGCACTAGTTACCAGCTACACACCGCTGTCTCACTTAGAAAGAATAAATGAATTTATTTGAATGTCGCACAGTGGTTTCTGAGCTCCGTCGCGAATCTTATTCTAAGTTCCCACTAAATTACAAGTTCCATGTAAACCTATAGCCACAGAAAGAGGTACTGATATTTTCCCATGATATTCCTCAGAAAGCTAATAGAATTAGGCAAGGGCGCCGCTACCCCAAATATGCATGGTCCCAAGGTCAACGAATCCTGTCCAGGCCAACCAAGTGGACAATAGAAGTATTCCGGATGGAAACACTAACTCGTACCAGCTTGTTGAACCAGCTAGTTTCCACGAGACATTGTATGGGCGCGGCACTGCGGCTCTACATCGTTGTAAGTCCAGGGCGTGGTTTTTTTTGGGAAAATGCCTTCATCAAAGCCGGGCGCTTCGTATTTGTGAGCTGATTTTCGTGTTTCATTTTCATCATTCTACTTCCACGTCCTACATGAAGCTATCTAAGCGTATCTGTTCCGACCACAATGATGATCATGGCGTGGAATGGCCCCTTATGAGGATCTGACAATGACTTTCACATGGTTGGTACGGAAACTGAATTTACCAGGCAATCAATGTTTTGGCACTTGTCTGTTTGTATGAGACGTGTGATCTCTATCTCTCAAAATCGTAACAAATCAATTGCAATTAAATATAACAATAACAGCGTTATTATAGCAAAAAGTAATCATTCGAGCATACGAAGACCGAAATCGTGCAAAATACGCAGACTAGCGCAAAATCTATTTGCATCACAAGTATTCGGATAGAAACTCAAATACACTTTAGTAAAAGTTCTCAACAAGTTAGAGCCAATACAATAGATTCGTTTGGAGAACATAGTCAGGAAAGCCTAACAAAATAATAATAGTAAGGCTTCACAAATAGGATCACGTTAAACTGAGATGAATCTCAGTCGATGATGGAGGTTGAGGAGCGGCGGACCGGTTTCAAAAAGACGGTGAAGGAGTTGGGGCGGTCGTACACAGAGCTCAGAAACCGGATGAGTTCCCAGCCGTCTTGCGCTATGTGATGACGGGAGACCGGAAGACTTTATTGACGACCTGGCGAAAAAAATTCAATACAAACAAACCTGTGTCGTACAATAGAAATGAGCTCTCAATCAAGAAAAGGAAAGGTTAGGAACACTTTTACAATCACAGGTTTCATCGTTGTGAGAAGTCATATTTTCCTAAGCTAGAGCCAGCTACACTCGGGATATTTTCGACAAAATACCAGCGTTGGAAGTCACAGGAAGCATCCAAGGATGCTCTGGTTGCGCGTGTTGGTCCCTCAAAATCATCGCCTCGATAGAAACACACTTTATCGTCACTGTAGCCCTCTTTGTTCTGTTCTTTTCCAGTTCCATGTAATACAATGATAATACTTTTCCTATTGCACACGCACAGTTTTTAACCCTCGCCCATAAAACGATTCTCCGACGCCTCACACTCCCTCCGAGCAGCAAACACCAAGCCCGTCAGCACTGCAAGGAAGAACATCAAGGCGAAAAACGGGCGCAGCGTCGTGCGGGAGAGAAAAAGCGCGATGGAGAGGAGCGTCAAGTTTTACTTTTGTTGAGCGTTACTTTCGTGTGGCGATATTCCCGGTTGGAAAAGATGCGTGGATTAGGTGCTTGCCGGAATAGTACACATCTCTTCAACTCGAAGAACTTTAGACTTCTGAAGAAGTCGAAACAGCAGGCCACTGAATGAATTGTTCACCTAAAATCCTCAAAGTGCACAACATCACATCCTGATAAACGAAAATAAAAACTAACAGTCCGAGGTTACAAGAAGGAAGAAGCTAAAGGATATTCACCCACAAAATCCTTCGCAAGAGTTTTAGACTCCAGTTGCTAAGAAATACATTCTAACAGCACACGAAGGACAGCCATGCGAGCAAGCAGGGTTTCGAAGAGGATTCAGCACGATCGATCACATCCACACGGTAACGAAGCTCATTGAAGTATCGCGAGAGTACAAGATGCCGTTATGTCTCACGTTTATCGACTTGAAGAAAGCCTTCGACTCCGTTGAGACAGAAGCGGTTAGGTGACGCAGCATGGTCAACAGGGTATACTCCTACACAAGTAGCATCTAGGATTCCTTGTGTTCGTAGGCAGACTTCACGACCAAGATTTCACCATTCTACAAGGAGATCATCATTGATGTGAAGAGAGGGGTCCGACAGGGCGACACCGTCTCGCCCAAGCTCTTCAGCGCCTCTCTCGAGAACGTGTGTGCGGGGGGGGTTCAATGGCTCAACTGGAATGGGAAGACATGGGAGTGAAGATCGACGGTCGGCAACTACACCATCTCCGCTTTGCTGACGACATCGTTTTGATAACGCCAAACATCGAGCAAGCGGAACGAATGCTGGCTGAATTCGACTGCGCGTGTGGAAGAATCGGTCTACGGCTGAACCTAACGAAGACGATGTTCATGAGAAACGGATTGGTATCTGATGCCCCATTCAAACGACCATCTCTGAATGCTCTAGCTATGTGTACCTAGGTCGTGAAATCAATATGATGAATGACTAGCTCCAGAGCTGAGCAGGAGGAAGCGAGCGGCTTGGGGAGCCTTCAAGAACATCGAGGGAGTAGCGAAGAAGACGAAGAACAAGCTCCGTGCCCACCTCTTCGATTCCGCGGTCCTTCCTGCCTTGACGTACGCCTCAGAGACTTGGACTCTACGAAAGCAGGATGAGCATGCGGTCGGCGTTATTCAACGCGCCATCGAAAGGGCGATGCTCGGAGTTTCCCGCTACACGCAAGTGAGAGAGGGAATCCGGAGCTCCGCACTCCGCCAACGATCGAAGATCAGAGACGCCGCCGCATTTGCCAAGGTTTCGAAGATCAGGTGGGCCGGACACGTCATGCGTTTCGAGGACGACCGCTGGACCAGAGCAATCACCGACTGGATTCCACGGGATGTCAAGCGAACGCCTGGACGACCGCCTACGCGATGGTCAGACTTCTTCGTGAAAGCTCTGAACGAATGGTATGAAGTTCATCGTGTCCCTCGAGCTGAGAGAGTTCATTGGGCAACTCTTGCACGTTGCAGGGACGAATGGAGACGTTACTGGCGCCCGCTCGAGGAACTCGATGATCAACGGGAGCACAGGTGATACAGGTGAACAGCATCGCTTCTTAAAGACAGCTCTCGCGACAAAAGTGTCATGGATAGTTGCTTTCAATTATGAAACAGTAGCTGATAAGTAATTCCCGAAGAAAAAAAGCAAGAAGAGTCCTCAAGAACACCATAAACAAAATCGCTCCCTGACAGTCACACCTCCCTGCGGTCTCTGTGCAACCCCTGGCTCACAAATCTCTCTATCACATCTCGCAGTAGTTGATATCATCCAGTGCAAGAAAAGAATACAAAAACAACAAAACAGAGAGGAAAAACTCTTGAAAAGAAAAAAAAACCCAAAAACTCGGCGTCCGAATTTAGGGTTACGGTAGCGTGCATATTTTAGTGTAGTGAAGTGCGTCGAGCTTTTGCACCACGAAAATTGGGTCGCTCGTGATTTTTACGCGTTTTACCTTGCGAGATGGGTTGGAGTTGACTGTATGTGCCCCTAATGAATAAAATGTAATAAAGGAGAGCAGAATCATTCATGGGCACAAGCGCGGTCAGCGAAAAGGGCATGCATTCCGATTAATGCCCGCCGCCCCAACAAAGAACAACTGAGCGGCCCTCCGTCAGAGGGCATCTAGCAAGTGGGCGGTCCAACTGGGCAGGGCGTTAGAACTAGAACTTTCAGCGGCTGTAGCTAATCGCTCGCTGTGGAGTTGCGAGAGTGGGACAGTCTCTAGCTTGGGGGCTGTACTACTTGCACAAGGAAGGACGACCATGTATTATACTACTTGAACGCGGGGGCTGTCTTTAACCTTTTGGCAAGAGCAAAGCTTCGTTTAGACGTGTTCCGTGCTCTGACGGGTCGGATTCCAAAACTGAACTTGGAGTCTAGAAATCGGTCCCTAGATGCTGATCTTTCACATTCGCTTGAAGTGAAACTGTCTCGCTTCTGATTTGCCGCCGCGGCCCATGACGGACTCCAGCGCATTCGTGCCAGATGGAGTGATAAGACAGCTGGGGGCACACGGCTAAACGGCTCCGCATCTTTTCCTTGATATGAAGGCTGTGTCTACACCTTACGAATCAAGTGCCCTCCTATTCCACGGGGAGAGGATCAAGACCTCGGGGTTGACACCGCGTTCCACGGCCGACGCCCGTTGCGCAAGCGATGTCAGTCCACCTCGATGAGAACCTACTGGCCAAATCCACCTCCAAAGAGGAATTTCGGCAACAATCTGGCGTAATTTTCGATGATTGAGGAGAAAAAAAGGTAAAAAGCGCCGAAAGTGGAAAAAGTGAAGAAATCATAAAGTGAAAAAATAAGGATAAGCTGGGATAAGTGTACAATAAGAAGTTAACGGATGACCACATTATGAGCGAAGCTATTCATTTTACTCACTCTGAACAGTGTCGCGACAAAATTAAGATGAATGTCGATCAAGGAAACGGCGGTACTCATTAGCCGTCCGCCAGTGAGCATTTCTCAGAACCGTCTGGAAATTTCACAATTAGCACACAACCAAGGATGTTAGACACCCATATAAGCACGAAAATTCATATCTCGGGGTAATATAACCAATAGCTATTTCAGAAAAATATCAAATGAGAAATTTCCGTTTGTCATCTAATAGTTAGAACAAACCTGAGGCCTTTTCGACTTCAAATATTCTACAGCCACATTAGGTAACCAGTTCCGTGACTTCATTAAATAACAAACAGCAACAGTGGCGCTACGAGTTCGTCCAGCCTGAAGAAATTTTCTCATCTGGGAACTACCAGGTTCCTTTTGCACAACGCTTATTCTATTTGAAATGCCAATTGATATTATTACTGGCTGCTATTTTGGAACCGTGTTCATGGTGTTGCTTTTCTAGTAATTCGGGAGCTAAGGCAGCGTTCATACTCCGCGACGGCAGCGCTTCGGTCGCGCGTTCGACGCGATCAATGCAGTCGAAAGCATGCGCATCGATCGCGTCGAACGCGCGACCGAAGCGCTGCCGTCGCGAAGTCTGAACGCTGCCTAACGTAGTTTGTGGATACGGCCGTGCAGGGAACACAAGGAGAGAATTATCTGCGCACTTTTGAACACAGTGCCGGGCCAAGAAATTGCACGTAGTGATGTTCGGCCATAAATCCGTACTCAATAGGGTTGTTTTTCAGTAAAGAGGAGAGCAAAAAACATCAAGAACCCCTCGAATAAGGACCAGAGTAGAACCATTCTCTTGCTTGGTCTCCGAGCGGTAAGGGGCAAAACGGAAGTTTGGTTCCGCGGTTGGGAAAATAGCGATGTTCGTCCGACCATCTGTGTTCTGGAGTGTTTCCCTAATCATCTGTTTTCCTCTTCTTTCACCAAAGCAACAGCATCCGTGGTGAACTGGCAATACGTGTACTACTTTTGTCGAATAAACTGTTTTTCACTGGGTGTGCCCTTCTCAAAAAAAGGCAGCCAAAAAGCTAAATGACTAATGAACACGAGCGCAGCCGGCAACAGTCAGAACATTCACCCTGTATCTCCAGGGCAAAGAGCATATGAAATCGTCCTATGACGTTGAAGGCGACAGAGCGGGGTAACCATGTAAGCCGTTGTCCTGTAGGCAGCATAGGCTTCCCAGACCTCAATGGTTCGAAAATGTGTGCTTGTGGAGCCTTTATCTAGGACTTCCGAGTGTGATGTGGTACCCCTCTGCGAGACAGACAGGCGATCTCAAACTGCGCGCATATACGCGACTAGCGCAATCCAGTCGCTCGAGTCGCGTCTGAAGTAGACACAGTGGATGCCGCATGTATTTTCCCCCCATATCAATCAGTTTAACACCGAATCTCATTCGAAGAATAAATAAAATACCGGGTTCAAAAGTCTTACCTTGCAATGCACATAGACAGACTTTCCTTTAGCAGCAACTGAGTCGATAAACTGCACCGCGGAATCAATCTGTGGTCTTGCTGCAGAGCCGAAGAAATCGGTCATGGGTATTTCGTGCACTTGCACACCAGCATCTCTCCAATCCTTAAACGATAGTTTTTCAACACTGCAACCTATATTGTTCCGGAATGTGAAATGTCAGAAATTTGCATTCGCTTCTAGTGAACCCCCTCACACCCCTCAACATTGTCCTAAACGAATATCTAACTCGTTCGCAGTGGAAGACGACGACGAGCAGCC